GGACGACGAAGAAAAATCAGAGAGAGACAGAGAGAGAGAGAGAGAGAGAGAGAGAGAGAGCGAGAAGGAGAGAGATAGAGAGAGAGAGAGAGGGAGAGAGAAAGAGAGAGAGATAGAGAGGTAGAGAGAGGGGTGGAAGGGCTGTACCATGATTGACCCGTTAAGGCCCTTGTATTGGAGCTTGAACGAGTGGTCGGGATAATGCTGCTATTCACCGTTACTCATAGTTACGGATCCGCCGTGATGTAGTTTTGGCATAAGACTTCACAACCTGAGTCCAATAAGTCACGCCCCTACAGTAGGGCGTGCGGCTGAGGGTTCAGGGTCTGTGGGCCTTAACGCTTCTGGTTGGACAGAGCGAGAGCGAGAAAGAGAAAGAGAAAGAGAGAGAGAGAGAGGGAGCGGATCAACATGCCGTAGGATAATGTACGATTCCGCCTGGGGAGTTCGTAGATTGTGTCCGGAGCCGCACGCCCCAAACGTTCAACCAGTTCGGGGTGCTGGTTTTTGTTTAACCCTGAAGCCCTTAAATATACGATCGGGGGTCGCGGCTTGCTATCGGATGTCCGCTGCACTAGTCGTAAGTGTACGTCTATACCAACCACGAACTCTTCAAGGATTTTCAATCCCTGAACGACCTGTTCGTCTGCGTCAGTACTACAATAAAAGGCCGAATGATGCTGTTTCTTAGGGTTCCTTTATATGTACTTATGGAAAGCTGCCTTGTTTGAATGTTACGGGCGCCCTTATTTCGTGCTAGACCCCACTGTAAACCGAAGCCTTACAAGAACCCTTTTCTACTTATTGAGGCCCTTACCCTAGGGGTCCAAAGGACCCAATAATGGGGTACTTTGGTTGTGGACAGTAGATAGATTAAACAATTGGGAGAATATATGATTATTAGGTACTTAGACGCTTAGGGTTACTTTACATACTTAGAGCCCGAGGCTCCATCACGCCGTAGTTCGGAGAATATAATTCGGAGAAGATATCCTGTCAACTTTTGGTACAAATCTCATATACCCGTGGCCCTGACATCATGGAATGGGAATGCTCCTTAAAGTTTATTTGGGATTCTCGAAATTGGGCACTTAACTCTTGATTAAATTGTATTGGAAATTCTAGGGGCCTCTGCAGCGAGGTTGCTAGCGTCGAGCCTCTCGGCGGCGTGATGAGGTCCAAGCGCTGTCTGCCTTGATCTCAGCTGCTGCTGGTGTTGGGGAGCCATTGGGTTTAGGGTTTTTCAAGATGATTGCAGGTCGCGGTCGGGCAAAGACGGGTGCTTTATGAATGTCAAAGTCAAGGCATTTCGTGGTTTGATGAGTATTCCCTTGAGACTATAGGGGTTCCGAGCTCTGCCGCTTGCTAAAAATATGTCTGCCTAGCAAGTGAACTTGCGAATTTTACTTTGTCTTATGACAGCTTATGAAATGTCAACTTCTGTGTGGGTTGCCAATCTTATTTTTGGGGTTCCGTATTATAAGTATAGCATAGGGCCCCAGAACCCTATTCTATCTACTAAGGCCCCTACATTGCCCCCCCACGAGACAAATCCTTAAACCACCCACAGACTTAAAGACCTACGCCAAGGTTTGCAATCTCTGGCCTCCAAAGGTGTCCCGAGTTGTCAGACTCAACATGTATGCCCGTGCGCACACAACGGATGTAATTTAAGCTACATGTTGTTCACATGGAACAGCATGCGAGGTCTACGAGATACCCTGTATCATACGGCTTTCTAACATAGACCAGCAGACTAGCAAAGGTAGGGCCTCAGTGTGTATCATTTAAGAACACTCGTCACGGCATAGCCGCATATGAAATGGAGGCTCCGACTCCAGAGTGGCCTTCCCGTGCAGCAGGCTCAGCCTATCAGTGCCTTTCGCTTCCCTTGTAGTGACACTATAAGGGTAGTTCTCTAAATTAGGGTCCCCTTTAAAGGTCGCCAAAATAGTACGGCACCCTTACAAACAGGGCCCTCAACGGGACCCCGATTTAGACAACTACCCATAAGTGCCCGACATGTGAGCAAGAATCAGAATGACAGCTCATGCTGACTCTGCTTCGACGTGCTAGAAAAAGGAGTCTAATGCACCCGGTTGCTTTGTCGAAGGGATCTCGACTTCGACCTCGCCTCGCCCACCACGACGACGACGACGACTACTACTACCACCACTACCACTACTACTATTACTACTACCACCACTATTACTACCACTGCTACTACTGCTGGTACTCCGGCTCTTCCGCGTCCTAAATACTATTCCCACTCCTACTCCTCTTACTCCTACTAATACTCGTCCTACTCCGAGTCCCCTCCTACTCCTACTCCTACTGCCACTGCCACTTGCCACTGCCGCTGCTGCTGCTACTGCTATGCTACTACGGCGACAACTGCTACTCTCAGAACAGCTGGAACAGCTGTGAGCAAGGCTAGTTTTCGGCTGAGATGGCCTCCGGGCTCCGACCTTCCATTCTAAACTTGCGAGCCCGTGGGCCTGAAACTCAAAGCCCAGGTACATCAAAGGTGCGACTGAGGCGATGACAGATCAGCTGATAAAGAAGCTCTGCTTGCAAGCAGGTCTGGTGCAGGGTGGGAGGAGTGGAGAGTCTGTGTGTATGCGTATATCGGTAATACCAGGACCGTTTTCATTGTGTAAATTGGTACGCAGGTATTGCCATCAAGGTTTCCAAGACGTTTTCTGTTTCTCCGTCAGTGAACATTATCCATAGTCTCCGATGTCGCTTCAATTTTGGGTTGACCCGTCATAAACAATGTGTGGGATCCTATCCGTCCTATCCACAGAAAACTGGCTAGCAAAAACAGGAACTACAATGGATACTACAGGTAGGTCTAAGTACGTAATAGTCATATGCTCTCCCAGTTTTTAACCCAAAGACTTTGCTCTGCCTTCCAGGGTCCGAAGAGTGGGCGAAGGGGATTAGGGTTTGAGGGTTTAGGGGGTATAACCCCAATGGCAGAGTCTGGGTTCAAAAAAGGGTATAACCCCGTTGAGGGATTTAGGTTTGTGTCTGGCAGCGCTGGTTCCTGGATGCCATAGTCTCGAAGTGCTGCTTCCCAGCTGATTGACGGAGTCTGGGTTCAAAAAAGGTGTAACCCCGCGACCCCGGCATCCTTCTCCCGGAGAGCTTGAAGCCCCCTCAGGAGGAACGCTTTGCAACGCCCTGCCAAAATTTGAAAGTCTAAGCCTCTCGGAAAAACGCTAGGATTTAGCACACCTAAAAAACCCATATTAAGGAGATCAGAGCGAGGTCTCCTAATAAGTCTTGAAAAGGCTTCAACCTGAATGTAGGGGCCGGAATTAGGAGTAAATAGTATCCGAGGATTGTCTGTATGTAGTCTTCGTGGAATCTACACCCACGAGCATTCTTCCAAGTAATTTCAGTCCCCTACATTACATCCTGCACAGCAACCCAGATCTGCTTCCCTTCTCTTGTGGCCCTCCACCTTTTCATGCAGCGCGACTCAGTCAGCAGGGCGGGTGGCAAGAAAACAAAGCCTCAAGCCGACACTCTAAGCTCTCAGAAGCTGCTTGGCTTAGCGGAGGGAACAGGTGCTAAAAGCCTAGCACAAGAGATTCAAAATCATAAAAACGAGGTTAAGCCATGCAAAACAAGGGTGAATCAAGTTACGAATTCCAGTTACATCACTCAAAAGGCAGACACCAGCCTTCCACTCCGAAGCCGTATAGCCCAGGGACGCACAGCGTGCCTTAGCGGCCGCCGGCTGGAAAGCTGGCTCCTTCGAGGCCTCGTCGCGTCCCGTTGGGTTCCGGTGGTTTCTTTGGAGGATGTGTAGGGTTTTGTGGGCTCTAGGGCCGTTGGGGCTTGGGCCGGTTCTGGCATTCAGATGTTTCTAGCTTTTGAAAAAGGGAAGCACGGGGATGTGTGACTTGCCCAAGGATGCAGAAAGTCCGTATAGACTAATGCGCGGTTGCGTTTTGAAATTTTGGCACAGCCTCCTTTGCCGCAGCAGTTCAATCCGCAAAACCTACGCCTCGATCCCCAGCCCAGAGCCAAACGTCTTACACCCTAATCGCCGACACCCCAAGTCCCACAAGCCAACCCCAAATCCCCGGAAGTGACTGCCGCCATGGTGTGGTTGGCCATCACTGCGGACTCCTGGGACTCTGTTTGGAAGGCAGGAACATGGTTGTTTGGCATGCGGGCCTCGATCATCAAGACAACGACAAGAACCCACGCCAACAACACCACCGACAACCACAACAACAACAACGGCAGCAACAAACAACACAACCAGCACCACCATCAACAGCAACCTTCGCCACCGCCACAACCGCTCATCTTGCTGCTTCTACCGTCGTGGTTTGAAGATCTTGCCTTTGGATTGTCTTCTGCTGATCACTTGCCTAATGGTCTACGGTCTTTGGTTTCGTAAGCTCCAATCCCAGCCCCTATGTGCCGTTGGCGGCAACGATTCTTTATTGGCTCGGTGGGGGTTTGGGACGTAGAAGCCAGAGACGGTGAGCAGTTTGCAACCCGAAAAGCCTATACAGTTATGACTTGGCCCGTCCTAGGTAAATTCATATTAAGAAATACCAGAAATTCGTCCCCGAAGTCCGTCCCCGTTCGGTTTAGGGTTTGGGTCTTCCCAGATGAGATGTTTCTGACAGGTCAAGCGTCAGCTGGAGGAGCTTGGCATTGCTGCGCCGGGCGCGGCCCTTTGCCAAGATCTTGGGTCTCGGAGAACTCATCCTGCTTCCCCTCTAGCAGGATCGGATTTGGGGTTGGGAGTTGAGAGTTTCGGGTGTAGGGTTGTGCGTGGGAGTTCCGGTCCCTACTATCCACTCTGGCTATCGCTAAGCATCCCACGAATGCCTGATGTGTTACCTCAGGTGTCCATCCACGGCGATGGCAAGATCTTCCTCGAGACCTCCATGGAGGTCGGTTCCGAAACTGAAACTCCCAATCCCGAGTTAACAACCGCAACTCCCGATTCTTGCTTCAGGCTTCAGGGTTGAAGATCGGGAGCAAAGTGGCTAGGATTGCCGAACGTGGGTGTGGCACTCAAGCTTTGGTTTCAGCCTTCAAGACTTCGTAGTTCCAAGCATTATAGGAATGTTTGCGAAGGTGCAAGCCCCACTCTGGGGCCAATGCGTTTGTTGAGCATTACGTCAACCTATAGGGGCATGAACATGTAGTAACTTAGTAACATGATGCCTAAGGGCTCGTGAATACAATTGGTAGCAAGAGCCGGGCGTATTCATTCAGGATATCCTTTCTATATTGTGAGTTAGTTTGACTAATACATCGTGACATCGTCGCATCCGACCACACCGGCCGACTTTCTTCGGCAGATACTTCTGGAGCGCGTTGTCTGCCTGTCCATGGTGGAAAGAGTCTTCCTTTGCCACCTGGCTCTCAGAGGTACTGGGAGTTGCAGTAGCAGTTGCAGTCGCAGTGGCAGGAGCAGGAGCAGCAGCAGCAGGAGCAAGAGCAGCACGAGCAGGAGCAGGAACAGGAGCAGGGGTAGGAGTAGGAGTAGGATTAGGAGGCGGTTGGAAGTGCTGTTGCAGCAGCAGTAGCGGCAGCAGCAGCAGCATTCACGCCGAGTCCCTCTTAGATCCTTTTGGTCAACTTTTGGTGGTGTCCTGAGCAAGATAGCTGCGGACCCGTCGCCTCCAACAGCCCACAAACGACTTCTTAAATGTGCACTGGTGAGCTTCCGGGATCTGGTGCATCAAGAAGCGTATTGTTCTTGCATTGTAGTGAGCTTTCCAACCTTTGTCGCCCAATGATTAGCCGAACAACTCAACTCCAAGACGCCCAAACACGGCGGTGTAGAGCACTGGGCTTATAAGGTCTTGTGCTTGTCCTTATGATTTGACCCTTCACGGCCTGTGGCTCAGCAAGAGCACCAGGTGTTCATCGGGAAGGCCTACACGAGGAGCATGCCATCTGCCACCAGGGTCCCAACTACAAACTTCTGCAGGACCGGACGGGAGAACCTTGTCGACCGAAGCCTCGAGGCCACAGCGCCTAACTTGAACTGTTCCCAGCTGTGACTGAGGAGCATTTGGAGTGGACCCACGCCAGCGTGTCCTGACATTGCATGCGTTCTCAAAAGCGGAATCCTATGCCGCAGTCCCAGACTGTTGAATTGTGAGAGAGCGTAGGACATTCGACTTGCTCCGAAATACTTTACACCAAGAACACCAAACTGGACTCCCGGCCGGACTCCTGCATTGAAGGCCATCCCGCAGTGAACCAGACATCGAGAGGAGGAATTGGCCTTGACCCTCTATGAACTGATAATTTGTGATATGTGAAGAATGTTCTATCCATGCCCCAGATGCGTTGAAACAAGTATGATGGTTGGGGCGTATTGATGTTTGCTATGGCGTGAGGCTTGCACAAGCCATATTCACCTAAAGCTTCCTAGAGCTTGCTGCAACCAACCGCCCCGATGCATCGCTCGCGGGGGCAGGAGTGGATCTATGCCATCGACTGGCGGGAAGTCTTTCGCGTGATTGATGTCATTCATGGAGGCCATCGCCCAGACACCTGGCCCCTTGCCCGGCTAGTCGAACGATTCGAATTTGGCGGTTGCGGCTTTAGAGAGATCGGGTGTGGGAGGGTAGGAGCAGGTAGGAAGGTCCGGGAAGGCTGCTCCAGCCTCGGAGGTCCCCAAACAGCCCATCTGCAAGTTTGCAGGAAGACAGGTTGCCGGAACCAGGCAAACCGAATGCAGCACATGCAAAAGTCTCGTCAAACATACCTTAAGTCCCCCTACAGACGCGATGTCAGGATGCTGGACTCCAAGCGCCATGGCGCGAAAGGCTCTCCCATGCGAGCCTTCGATCGCCTCGAGATGCAGCAGAAGGCTTGGCGGTTTTTCGCCGCACAGGCAACGCACAAGAAATCCTGCAAGGTAACGTGATCCCAGCGCCCCACCCAGGAAGCACAGGTGTCCGATCGACAGGATGGCATAGAGGAAAAAGCGGGACAGCCAGCGGTGCACAGCTACGAGGGCGAACGGCAACAGGATAGGCCTTTGGACATCTCGAAAAATGCCAGGGCTGGCCGACCCTTCTCGAAAGTCTAGTCGTTGAGGCTTCCATTTCAGGGTCTACAGTTTGGGCTTCTAGGTTCTCGGATTCTTGATACGCAGTTTGGGTAGATCTCTCAATGTCTCCATGAAATCCTTAGCCTCAGGCCTTGAACTGCCGAAGCAGGCAGGGCAAGCAAGACATCGACCAGCAGCAGATAAGTAGATGCTGATGTCGTTCCCCGGTGGGTTGCTCTACACATTAAACAGATTCGGCCCGAAACCCTGAACCCTCGACTAGCAGGTGCGTGACGTGCTGCATGAGGTTCTGTCCGCCTATGGTCTTTTGGCATGACCGTTTAGGGTTTGGAGTTCACTGGGGGTCTTTCAGGAGCCTTGCGGCTGAGATCTTGGGCATCGGTACAGACTTGAGCCACAATTGGGTTAAGCAAGGAGTAGAATCTCTAAACAGTAAGCGGCTAGTGTTCGATTTCAAAGCTTGTGGCTTTCGGGGAATCCAATGACCTGCTGTATTGAGGGGTGCACCTTCTAATACGCACAGGGTCATAAGTTAACCTTAAAGCCTAAACCAATAATATTACTGATAATTTTAGTTCTCTTGTATAGTACCGGGCAAGACGACCACCTGTCAGTATCACTCCTACCTGCGACTATGGAACCTCGCCTGGCTTGTCCGAGTTGTGAGAGCGTACACCATAAACATTACTTAATAACCGTCTGTTGGGTTTGTTGGAGGTTAAAGGACTCCTCAACAACACATTGTGTTTACGGTAAGGATGCGGGTGTTTCAGAAAATCAGCGAGAGGTCGCTTTTCAAGCCTAAACCCTGAACCCTGGACCCGGCATCGTAGGTTCCTCCTACCCAGGCAGGAGGCAAAACAAAAAAACAAAACCGTAAACCCAAAAAGTCCGTGATCTGTGATCAGTATACAGATGCCTACCCGCCTAAGCCCAAGCCACAAGAGTCGGCTTAACATCAAACCCTCCTACGCCCTGTAAACATGAGCCTAAAGCGAAATGGAAGACTGTGTGGTTCCCTTGAAAGGAACCCTAAAGCAACCCTTTACAGGAACCCTCAAAACCCCTCTAAAGGAACCCTAAAACCCCCCTTGTAAAGGAACCCTCAAAACCCGTTTTGACAAGGAACCCTAAAAAAACCCTTGGAATTAACGGAACCCTGAAACCCCTTTTGAAAAGGAGCCCTGAAACCCTTAGGTTGCTCTCACCATCCCTACAACGCCGGCCTGATGGTCTATGCCTCTCGGACTATAATAAAGGTTTTGGGTTTAGGGGTTTAGGGGTCTAGGTTTAGGGGTTTAGGGCATAGGGGTTTAGGGTTTAGGTTAGGGGTTGAGGGTTTAGGGGTTTAGGGGTTTAGGGTTTCTGCGATGGCCATGCATTTTCAGCGCCGCAGACAAAGGCTTGCAGCTTTAGGATGTAGGCTTTTGCTGGAATCTGAACTCGAAGCTCTGTTACGGCCTCAGCGAGGTCTTCTTGAGTGCTTCACTCGCCTTCGTCGGCGTACCCATCCTCCATCGGCGGGTGGCTTTGTCAATGTTAGGGATTTGTTTTTGTTTTTGGGTGTCCTTACACCTTGAAAGCGACCCCGTAACATTGGGCTTTTTGTGGGTGGGGCATATGACTCTTCGGGCGAAGCAGAGCCCCAGGCCCCTAAACAGAATTGTTTTTTCTTTCCTCGGTAAGACAGAGCCAGGTGAAGCAGGGCTACTTCCCCCACAAAGGCTTGCACCACAGCCTGCCGGACTGCAACGTCATTGTCTTTTTCTGCGTGTGTGTTGGTGGCCGGTATGTCATTGATTCTTACTCCGAAACTGTCCTAAACACTAAACCCTAAACCTTTACATGTCAAAGTAGCAAGCTCGGACCGAACCTGCCATGCCTGCTCTGAGCGAGTGTGTGAGTCGAATTCCTAAGCCCTACTCTTGTGTGCAAGGGTCCTCTGAAGATTCGAAACTCCTCAATGCCCATAACTTCTCACAGGTTATGAAACAGTACATAGCATGAAAAGACAACCAAGATAATGCTAAATCTAACCGACCGAACAAGCATAAACAACCTGGCAAAGAAGGTCTATGAGCTTCGGCTGCATATATGTGGGGGTGGGGGGGGTTCAGAATCTCTGTCTGAGGGTGTTTTGGTTCGATGCTGCGCTGTTGGGCCGCATACAGTATGGGGGTTTCCGAACATTAGGGTACCTTATTTTGGGGTCCTTATAATAAGGAACCTACTATTTAGGGTACATACTAGGGTCCCCTATCTTCGGAAACCCCCATATAGGGTGTAGGTGGAAGTCTTTGGGAGAGGCTCGGCCGCGGATGTCGGATTCGGGGCTGTATTTTTTTAAAAAAGGTTTCAGGGTTCAGGGTTTAGG